TTCCATCTCCAACAGAGAAGAGCAAGTTTTGCTTACAACTGCAACATCAAACAAATAAATCAAACACATGTATTAGCTACACTGAATTTCTCAAGTAAATTAAACTGTAGTTCCAGTCAGTTTATAAAAAGTTGCTCCTATGATCACACTGGTGTAATTCCCTTGATATAAAAACCAAACCAAACTGTAAAAAAAAGGGGAAAAAAAACCACACACACAAAAAAGCCCTTACATGTCTAAGTATATTGGCCTCAAAAAAAAAAAAAAGAATCTGAATCATGCTTCAGTGAAGGCCAGGTCAAAGCAAGAGGGTTTTATTATACTTCACTTCTTTCATCACAGAAATCTATTTCCCTGAAAAAGGAAACCAAAAACCATTCGCTCTTATGAGAAACTGACCAATTTCAATCAGCTCCAGGACAGTGACAGTGACTAGTGAAGCATTAACAGAAATATAATGTGCATAAAGCATTTAAGAAGTCAAATTAACTTGATTTAACTTGACATTCTCAGTCATTTAAGAAAAAGTGTTCATCCCAAATACGCTAGTCAATGTGACTAGCAAAGAGACCTATTTCCATCAACTCAACTGTGTTACAGTCGGATACAACTTTTACTACAAAACATGCAAACTGGATACAACTACAGGGAAATTTAGCTTTAAAAGTACAGAATGAATGTTTAATAAATGACCCATAATGATACAACTGATCTTTCCCATGACTGCCAATATATAGCTGCTGACACCTCCTGGGTGAGAAAAGATAATGGAAAGAAGTGATTATAAATAGTAGCTTCCTTCTTACTACAACTAATTCAAGGGCTGTGTACAGAAGTAAAATCCTAAAGAGGAGATTATTTCACCTTAAAATCTGTTTGTTACAGATGATGATTACTGACAACAATAATTGCTTCTTCAGACAAAAAGAAAAACTTTTTTAAAGAAATCTCTATAGCAAGAGTTCTCTCAATACCAACAACCACATAATTAAGTCAAAGCTTTTGTAAATGAATTCTCAGGAAAAAAAAAAATGATGGCAAGAAAACCTTATGATACATCCAATAACAAAGGCAAACAAAGTGAAAATAAACATTAACATGAAAAAATATCAACTATTTAAGCAAGTTTTAACAAAATATTTTTACTCATATATTTAAAGGAGAGGGAGCATGCAGGGTACAAACTAAACTGAGGTCAGACAGAAAGTTTATTATAAACACAAAAAGATCATCAGAAAATGAAAATGTATTTTTCAAATCAGTAATAAGGCATTCTAATGCATCTGCTCTTTTTCTGAGCCACACACTAATTTTTCTGATATCCACAATAAAAAGATTTAGACTGTCCTTCCTCATTATACATTTTTTATTTCCATATCAGCAGCTTTAACCCCTCCTCCATCTAAAAACCTGAAAACTCAAAATCTGCTTTAAAAATACTAGTTCTCCATTTTCCCCTAATACAGGATTGCTAAGTCTGACTGTACTCTTCACCTTCTCAATTCTAAATTACAAAACTTTATTAAAACAATTTGCATTCAACTACTGTTGTTTCATTTTCATGACAAAAAAAGTTTGTTTTTTAAAAAACTATATACTAACTGCTCTAAGGGTTCAGTTGAAAACTTCTCTCTAAAGGTAGAGCAGTTTAAGATCTAGGTTTTATCTGTAATCCTATGATCATCTCTATCTTCAATAAAAGGTTTCAAACTCAAGTTTATGTCCTTTATATGACGGGCCCAACCCAATACGTATTCATAACTTTAACAAACAACCGTGTTGAAGATACTTGAGTGGAAGAGCTGGCACACACACCCCCACCACCAGCAACAGCAAAAAACGAAACAAAAACAAAAACAAGCAGTAAAACAAAAGGACTGTCCACAATCAAGATACAGGCTACAGGTTAACTTGGCAAGGAATTAAAATACTTATTCTAAAACATCCAAGTCTTAATCGATTAACTACGAAAACCAGCACACTTAATCCTCAAATTTGCAACTAGCCAAATGGAAATTCTTAGGCTGACAAGTTAATTTTTTAAAAGCGTATTCTTTGAAAAATATTTTAAAATAAAAAATTTAAAATCTCATTTAAAATTCCTAATTATCAGAAAATACATCTACCCTAAGTACGATGTTAACTTCATTAAACCAATCACTAAAGTAAAATTTTTAGTAAATTTTATCTAAATTTAAAAGTAATTTTTCGACCAAGCATTATAGGCAAAAAAAAAAAAATAACCAGAAACAAAAGTCATGATTAATTTGTTTTGAACAATGACAAACCACAAAGGGGTAAAGCACAAGATGCCAAAATTCACAATTAAACCATCTAGAAAAAAAAAATGTGATGGACTTCAGAAACCAATATTTTTCTTAAATCAAATTAAGTTTATAATAAGACTAACAATTACAGGAAGCAGCTTATTCCACACTAAGGAATAGCCCTTTTTCCTGCATGTTTGTACTGGTCTGATAAAAAACAATCAAGCTTCCTTGTCATTATATTGCCCATTTTAACCATACTATATGTCATACAGAAGCAATCTTTACACTGGGGAGTTGACAAGGCAAAAACTAAAGACAAAGTAAGATGAGAGATGGAGTAAACCACATTAAAAGGGGAAGGGGAAACAAACATTATCTAAGCGATATCACAGTGATCTCCTACATTTAAAACGCAAATGAGAACTATTTCCAACCAGAGAGAAATAAGCCTTTGTTAGAGATAATGACATAATTAACATTTCTGGATTTGAAAGATTAAAAATTACTAAAGCCTAAGGTTGGAAACTTGATAACAAGGAATCAGCTCTAAATTTAGAGATTTTAGATCAACACAAAAGCACAAGAAGCCTTTTAAAACTAAAGAAACTCAAAAGTATGCAGTTTTTTAAATAGTATACATAAGGTGAAAGTATTTTCACATTTTTGGAATCTCCTATAGTCTTTGAATTCAACATTTCAAGAATACAATTTAATTTTAATTAACCCTAAATATCGTCAAGGGCTATTTTCATTTTATCGTCGATAAAGGATTCCTTCTAAACAACTGCACTCAAGAAAAAAAACTTTCACCAGAAATTGTTACTAATACTACTAAAACTTTAACTTAACCGAAATATGCCAAGGAGAAAATATTAAGAGTGTTACTTTTGAAACGTCACGAAGTTGTGCTAATGATTTTAAGGAAAGTGTTTTCAATGTTCGAAAACACTATATAAACACATGATGACAAATCAAATAATCTATAATTTAAGTTTCAACTAAATTTAATATAGGTCAGATTACTGAGTATGTTACACATTTGGTTCCAACCATTTCCATGGTTAAAAAATAACTGGCGCCCCTTAGCGCTCACATTTGGAAATACTCAATTTAAGAGTTCCAGCAATTTTTTTTTTTTTTTTGACATTCCAGAAAGTTTTCTGCCTCCACAATCTTTCAAATGCCAACACAAATAGGAAAAGCAGAACCCTTTAAAGGGACAGCTCAAGTTTTCTCTGGAGCAACTTGAAATTAACAGATTTGCTGTTCCAACAGTGGAAAATGCCCATTTCAATGCTGGTGAGTGCTGTATGTTTAACATATGGAAGCAAAACGACGAGAAAGCCGTAACACCTAACCATTTTCTACTTTTAAGTTGTTTCTTTGACTTTCAAGACAATAAAACTCCAGGGATTTTTCTTTAATCATCTTTTTATCATGGAAACATTTCCGGCCTTTTGTTCTCTAATGACATTCCAACTCCCCAAGCTTCAAACTCCTGTTCCCCGACTCTATTTTTAAAATCTCGAAATTCTTGCGAAAAATCTAAACTCCATTGTTCATCTCTTCAACCTACAGTTTTCAGTTTCCTTTACACAGTCCTCCGGTGATGCCTCTGAGCAGGGGGAAAAAAAAAAAAAAAACTCCTGGCTAGTCGATTTTCGAAACACTTTTTTGTGGTCATTTTTTTTTCTCTAGGCGTCCACAGAAACCCACAGCTACTAGAAATTAATACTCCAGATACTGCTATGAGAACTTCTTAAGGAAATTCCAGAGTTGGTCAACATTAATCTTCTTGTCATTCTTCGCTCCCCACAGCGCTCCATAAAGCTTTTTGAAAACTTCGGCTCAATTTTATTTCGCCCTTTCCAAACGTCTCGATTCCCTGTCCTACAAACTCGGGCGGCTGCGTCTCCGGGAGCAAACCCTCCGCCCAAGTTCTTCCTAACTCAGGCTGCGCTCCGATCTGTCATCGCGTTATTTCGCACTCCACCCCCCCCCCACCCCCGAAAAGTGAAGTTCAACTCCCTAACAGTTCTCGCTTCCCCAAACAAAAGGGAAAAAAGTGCTTTTCGCCGTCACTTCGTCCTCCTTGTCGGCTACGCCAGCATAATTTCGGTCTCCTATGGAATTTCTTTAAACTAACGAGCCCCACTCTGACTTCCACTTAGTATTTACCAGCTGCACCAACTCCCCAAGCACGAAACCCCGCTTTAGTCCTCATGGGAGGGGGAGAGCTCCCGAACGCGGGGCAGCGGGGTCCGCGCAGAGCAAGCTCAGGAGGTCGAGGAGAGGAGCGGGGCCCGCGCCGGGGACACGCGCGTCCTCCAGGCCGGCGGCGCGGCGTGGGCCTGCTCTCAGGAGGGCTTGGCGAGGACCACCGAGCCCGCGCAGCCCCCGCTGGCCTCTCGGAAATGTGACCGCCAAAGCCAGACGAGCCGCAGGGTTCGCCCCGCAGCCCTCCGCAGCGCACAAACTTGGGCGCCAGCGGCGCGGGGTCCCGGGCCGGGCAGGGGGCGTCCGGCCCCGGCGGGTCCACCCCGACCCGCCCGCCCGCCGCCGCCGCAAGCCCGGCCCGGCGCCTCCTTTGTGCGCCCTCCCGGCCTCCCAGTCCCCCCGGCGCGCGGTCCCGCCCGGCCGTGACCTTCCCGCCCTCCCCACCATCCCAAGCAGGGAAAGGGGCCGCCCCGGCGGGGATCGGGCCGGGGCCGGGGCCCCGGAGACGCTCACCTTCGTCCAGCAGCCGCTCTAGGTGGTTGAAGATCCCGCAGAAGTTGGGCAGGCTGCTCATGAGCTTCTTGTCGTTCATCAGCTGCATCAGGTAATCTGGGGTGGGCTTCGGCTTCTCCTTCGTTTCCATTTCCCCGACCATATTCCAGGCTCCGCAGCTCACTCCGCCCGCCGCCGCCGCCGCCGCCGCCGCCGCCGGAGAGGAGGGAGGGGCGGGGGCGAGCCCCGGCCGCGGGCCGCTCGGGACCCGGCGTCCCGCTCCGCGCCGGCTCCCGCTCTGGCTCCCGCGCCGAGCCCCGGGGCGGCCGGCACCGCGCGCTCGCCCGCCCCCCGCAGGCACTTTCCGCCCGGGCCCGACGCGCTCCCAGCCGCCGCCGCTCTCGACCGCCCGGCTCGGCGCGTCCCTCACGAGGCCGGCGGGCGGGCGGGAGGCGGGTCTCGGCTGGCCGAGTGCGGGCGCAGGGCGCGGGCCGCTGGCGCCGGACGAGGAGGAGCCGGGGCCGCCGCTCGCTCGGCTGGTCGCGCCCGCTCAGCGCCGCCGCCGCCTGTGCCGCGGGCTCGGGGGGTCTCTCTGGGCTGGTCCCCGCCGCGGCGCCTCTGCCGCTGCCGCTGCCGCCGCGCTCTGACTGCGCTCCTCCTCTTCCTCCTCCTCCTTCTCCTCCTCCTCCTCACTCACTTGGCGGCGGAGTTCGCCTCAGTTCAGGCGGCGCTGCCAGCGGCGGCTGGCAGCAGCGCGGCGGGGAGGGCGCGGGCGGAGGCGGAGGGCGGGCGGCGGGCGGGCGCGCAGGCGGGCCGTAGCGGGCCCGATCTGCGCTCCGCTGCCCGACGCCCCCCGACCCGGGCAGCAGCCGGCGCCGTGCCCCCTCCTCCCTGCCTCCCCGGCGGGGCGGGCGGCAGGGGCGACGGGAGCGTGACGGGCGGCGGCGCTCGGCGGCCCCGGGCCTGGGCGCAGGGACTGGGTCGCCGCCGTGCGGGGCGCCCGAGGCGGGTGGGTGTGGGTTGCGGGGCCGACGGCCGCGGGGGGGCGCGGGGCTTTCCACGGTACGGGGCGGGCGGGGCTCGGGCGCGGTTGGGGCTGGCGCGGCAGGCGGGAGGAATTCCAGCGGGACGCGCCAGCGCTGCCTCCGCCTCGCCTCCCGTTACTATAGTTTTTTCAGAACCTCTCATCCACCCCGCAGAAAAGAAATTTTTTTTAACGTCCTGTTGCTTCACGGGGGACTTTCGGGGTGGGCGTCACGTGGCCCGACACGTAGGCATGGGGCTCCAGAGCGCGTGCGCGCGTCGAGCCCCGTGGCCACGCCCCTTCCGAAGGTCGCTCCGCCCCCGCCGGGCCCCGTGAGCGCGCGGTGGGGGAGGGAAGGGGCCCGGAGCGCGCCTGCGTGGGGCGTGGGCGGGGCTGGGGGCGGCAGCCGCCTAGGGGCTGGGGCTGCCCGTTTAGGGCCGGGTGCTGGCCAGTCGCCCAGGGTGCGGAGGACTGGTGGGCTTGCCCTGGCCGTCGGGCCCGCCACCTCGCGGGTATTGGCCGCGGGGCGGGGGTGTGGCGGGGGAGCCGAGAACTGGAGTTTGAGGCTTTCTGAGGCGCGTGCCGCGGCGTCCGCCTCTGCGGGGTAGGGCGCCCGTCGCGCCGGGCTCCCGCTTTGTCGCCGAGGGAACCACGCGCGACGCCCCTCCCGTCGCCGCCGTGGCTCCCTTCCGTGTTCGTGATTTGCTGAGAGGCTGGAAAGCAGCACGGCGGAGAGAAGCCTCGCGCTCGCCAGGCGGGGAAGCGTGCGCGGACACGCGTGCGCACCCACGGGGCGGTGGGCGGGCGTGGGGGGTCTGGGCCAAGCGGTTGACGCGCCGCCAGGGAAGCGATCTTGTTGCACCTTCTCGTTATTCTGAAAGCAAATCGTAGCGAGACCCGAGCGCAGCGGCTTAGCAAATTATAAGGGGATCGTTAGTCGTGCTCGAAATGCTGCTTTCGCGATGGCATCAGTGTTCCGTGAGGGAATGAAGCCGCAGTAGGAAAGAGCCTGTGCGCGTAGTCTGAAAAGCAGAAGTCAACATTTTTACAGATGAAGAAAGAATACGGAGGCAAGAGGTCTTTCTCTGCAGTGTGGTGGATTTCCAGCATTTAGATTTGTTTGGAAGAATTTTCTGAGCTGCAACAATGAAGTCCTCCTTGATCTATAGAAGTCGACAGTCCCTAAATCTACATCTGCATCTGCATTTTGTTGCAAATCCTTTATAACATTCCATTAAAATAATGCAGTTATTTAATATCCGATTGATACTGAGTAATTCGCGGCTGAAATTTACTGTTAATCATTCTGTCTTCTCACTTAATAGTGAACGTAGGTGATTTTTTTTGTGAAATGTTGCTTCACACGAATTCTGAGAATCACCTCTAAGTTTGAGTTGTACTGAAGGCACTATAAGAATTTCAAACGAACGCTGAGTGGCCAGTAGTTTCTGGCCTTTTCGTTTAACAAGCACAGAGTTCGTTTGTAAAATTAAGTTACTTTGACAGAGGAAATGTAATAGCCTTGGTAGACAACGTTAAAAATGTAACTCTCAGATATTTTAAATTCTACAACAGCCGTATCTGTTTTAGAGCCATAGAACATTTACTTACTGAATTGCCTATTTAAAGATGAACTTTCTAAATGCAGGGAATAGTAACTTGAAAAAAAGCTCTGGTCTCTGAGTAATGAATGCTGTTTCAGTACCTAGAAAAATAGTTACACAAGGTTTTGATGCTGCTAGTATAAAATGCAACCCCCTTCTTAATGGCCTGCTTATTTCTTAAGCTCCTAGGCACTATGCCGAATGTTCTACATACATATCTCATTTAATCATCAGTACAAGTTGGGCTTAGGTTAGACTGTTATCCCAATTTTACAAATAAGGGGAAACCCAAGAAAGATGAAGTTAAGTGCCTTGTGCAAGAATACAGCTTATGAGTCCTGTGTCTGGGATTATAATACAATTATATTTTATTGTAAAGCTTATGTTTTTTTTCTTTTTTTTCCTCGCCCTATCCTTTAAGTCAGGTTGAATTTTATGACAATATTCCACCATTTTTGACCCGTAGAAACGGCAGTGTCATAAGGCTCAACCACTTAAACCAGATTAAAGAACAATGATAGGCAATTTTTATTTCCTATGTATTAAATCTCTTATGGTTACAGCATTAGATAATAGCTACTGTGTGTTACTTTTTTTTTTTTTTTTTTTTTTTTTTTTTTTTTTTTGGTTTTGAAAACGGAATTCGCTCTTGTCGCCCAGGCTGGAGTGCAACGGTGCGATCTCGGCTCCACTGCAACCTCAGCCTCCCTGGTCCAGCGATTCTCCTCGCACCATCCTTCCTAAATAGCTGGGATTACAGGCATGCGTCCACC